TTCATGATTTTTCAGATTTATCAACTAAACAGGTTTGTGTTTTCTGTTTTTTTTCCTGTTGTGGTTGTACATCTGTTTACACAACACCACTGCAACCACAACAGCAACAAAATGATACTAAACGGGGCCTAACTCATAAAAACAAAAAGGAAAGAACCCAACCAAAGTTTCCACCGACAGGCCCCAAACCAAACAAAATACGAGCCCCCCCAAATGGAGTTTTGTATTGTATTCTTGGTCATGGCGAGGTCCTACTACTAACAGTGTCTGTTCCAAATTCCAATACTCTACTACCGCAGTTGTGTACTGGTTTGAATTACTCTGTGCTAGGGGCTTAGGGCCATATTTGATGAACTTCTCCATCTCTATCAGTTGAGAAACATAGGTTTGAGGGTGGAAGAGAGCATACTAGTTCTTGTCTTATGGTCATTGAACAAATTCAAAAGAGAACTCGATCATTAAATCTTTATCTACAATCGACATTGAATTATCGAACTCTTTTAAGTATATATCTATATATGGTTCAAACTTATCTCTACGCCACCATTGACAAGATAAGCAACTCATGCTTTTATTAGGCGCCGCTTTTGTTTCTAAAGAGATAAAACAATACATCAAACTAGTTCTGCTATCAGATGACAACACCATAATAATCGTGACGGCGTGTAGACAATCATAGCTAGTGTACTAACTCAAAACTAGAGCTCACAGGAGATAATGATATCTAGATATGGTAAGAACAAAACTTCAATTCCTTATATTGACAGAAAACACCATAATCGAGAGTTAAAGATCGTTAGCACTTACTGAAGTGTGTTTGCAGAGCCAAGTAGCATCCGGTTATTCAATGCTTATCTACAACATATGTGAACATCCAATTAATGTATCTTTTTTGGTAGAACCGTATGGATGTTTGAACTTATCTTTACACAGTTACTTCAAGCTGAAGGTGGTCAACGGGTAATTATCATGTCAAGTCGGCCCTGGTTAAATTGGGCCTCATGGTGGTTCTATTGGGCCTCACAGCAGATCGAGCACAGGCCCCGCTCCAGTTTGGGTTCTACACAGGCCCCTCTCGTTTTGCAACCATCACATTTTAAGCTCTACTCACTGTCACAGACTCAAAGTGCCACTTTGGAACAGCAACTTCAATTGTTGTGCCTGTGCCTGTGCCTGTGGGTCTGAGAAGAAAACAAAGTGAAATGAGCTTTTGCTTCTTTCCAAGAGCAATTTCATCATTGTATCCTTCCATTAATGCCAATTACACCAGAAAAGAACAATTAGTTTGTGCAGAATCTTCATCTTCAAGACAATAAAAAGGCTATTTTAAGCACACCTTCAAACTTATTCATTTATTTGATAACTTAAGCAACTCAAACTATATTATGCGCTGATTTATTTCTAAGAAAGAAAAGATTGCATCCGACAAGTTCTGGCGTCAGATGACAGTTAGGAGGGCACACAAACAATCATAGTAAGTGTTACTACGTCAAAATAGAGCTTCGAGGAGATGATGGATATCCCCATGTAAGAACAGAAGTAACAGTTCCTCACATTGATAGAGAGTACTAGAATCAAGAGTCAACAATGGTCGGCACTGATTAGAAGTATGTTCGCATGCTGAGTTATTTGTGCTAAGTACCATCCGGTCATTCAATGTTTATCTACTGAAACATTAAATTAATATCTTTTTTTGGGATAACTATATATGGCTCTAACTTATCCGACCACCATTGACAGCACAAACAACTCTTACTTTTATCAGGCGCCGTTTTACTTCCTACAGAAAGAAAACAATACATCAGACGAATTCTGCTATCAGATGACAACATATGCTACGATACCATGACGACTATGAAAGCACACAAACAATCATAATAAGTTTGCACTGACTCAAAGCTAGAGCTTTCACTCTAAGAGACGGTCACACCTTGTTTGGATATGGGGTAATATCCATTAACCTAAGGTCACCTGATTGAGGATTGGTGCCCTTTCAACAAGGGGCAGTAACTTCACTTACTGGTGGGTAGGAAATGAAACAAAGTGAAATGACTAATGTGCTTTTCCTTCTTCCCAACTGCAATTTCACCATAGTAATGACGAAACTGAAACCTCTGCCACCAAAGCACTCATACTCATATTATAGTCATGCTCGCCGGTCAACCCACCGGCTCTTTCTTTCTTACTTACCCGCACAGCTTTGAGTTTCATGTGCATGTCAGACCCCATCAAAACCAGACGACACTGGTTCGGATTACTCTGTCTTAAGGGCGTATATGATGAACCCATTCTCTACCAGTTGGGAAACATAGGGTTGAGGGTGGAAGAGGGCATACAAGTTCTTGTCCTATGGCGATTGGATGAGTCCAGACAATGTCTAGAATTGTTTGAAGGAGACATAAGTGACAGCTCGGTCACTCAATCTTTTATTTGCAAGATTTGAACATTGAATTAATGACTTTTTTTAAGCATATATAGATATACGATTCAAACGTATCTCTACGTTGTCATTGATAAGATAAGCAACTCATGCTTTTATTAGGCGCCGCCTTTATTTCTAAAGAGCGAAAACAATACATCATATGAGTTCTGCTATGAGATGAAAACACCATGACAACCATAAGGACGTGCTAACAATCATAGCAAGTATAGTAGCTCAAAACTAGAGCTCACGGGAGATGATGATATCCGGCCAAAATAAAAACACTAGAACCACGAGTTGAAGATCGTTGGCACTTATTAGAAGTGCGTTCGCAGTACCAAATATCATCCGATTATTCAATGCTTATCTACAAAACATCCAATCAATATATCTTTTTAGCATATAACTAACTGTATGTAGGTTTGAACTTATCTGGCACATTAGCTTCAAGCTCAAGGTGGTCAGCGGGTAATTAATGTCAAGTCGGGATGGTTAAATTGGCCTCATGGTGGTTCTATTGGGCCTGACAGCAGATCGAGTACTAGCCCATCTCCAGTTTGGATTCTACAAGGGTAAATGCAACGGGACAGACGTGGAGTCCAAGGACCGCAGCCTGGTGTGCGAGTGCGAAGTACCAGAAAGACACAACCCTCTCGATAATTACTTCTTTCCAAGAGCAATTTCATTATTGTGTCCTTCCATTAATGACAATTACACCAGAATGGAACAATTAGTTTGTGCAAGAATCTTCATCTTCAAGACAAAAAAAAAGGCTCTTTTAAGCACACCTTCAAACTTATCCTTTTAGTTGATAATAACATAAGCAACTCAAACTTTATTAGGCGCTGATTTATTTCTATAAAAAGAAAAGATTGCATCCGACAAGTTCTTCTATCAGGATGACAACTTCATGACAATTACGAGGGCATACAAACAATCATAGTAGGTGTTACTGAGTCAAACTAGAGCTTCCAGGAGATGATGGATATCTCCAGAAAAGAACAGAAGAAACAGCGCTCCTCACATTGATAGAGAGCACTAGAATCAAGAGGTCGACACTGATTAGAAGTATGTCCGCATGCTGAGTCATTTGTGCTAAGTACCACCCTGTCATTCAATGTTTATCTACTGAAACAATAAATTAATGTCTTTTTCAGAATAACTATATATATAGCTCTAACTTATCCGACCGCCATTGACAGCACAAACGGCTCTTGCTTTTATCAGGCACCGATTTACTTCCTATGGAAATAAAACAATACATCAGACGAAATTCTACTATCAGATGACAACATATACTACAATATCATAACGACTATGAAAGCACACAAACAATCATAATAAGTTTGCGCCGACTCAAGGGGCAGTAACTTCACATACTATGAGTCCGAAATGATACAAAGTGAAATGACAAATGTGCTTTTCTTCTTCCCAACTGCAATTTCACCATGATAATGACTGAAACTGAAACCTCTGCCACCAAAGCACTCATACTCATATCATAGTCCTGCTCACAGCTTTGAGTTCCATGTGCATGTCGGACCCCGTCAAAACCCGAGACTGGTTCGGATTACTCTGTCTTAAGGGTGTATTTGATGAACTGCTTGGGACACATAGGCCTACAAGTTGGTCTTCTAGCGGTTTAATCTTGTGCTCAAGTTAAGTTATTTCGATTGGTTTGCATTCTAATTAAGATCACATTGCATAACAGGGGAACGTACTTCTAACCAGGATAATAACCTGAGTTGCTTGTTTTGTTGATAAGCGATTGAACAAGTCCATATAATGTCTGGCTCTATTTGATGGAGCCATTTGTTTGAGCTAAATAGCATATGGTGATTCAAGTTTTATCTACAACATGTGCATTAAATTAACAACTTTAAAGCATATGTATATATGTGGTTCAAATTTATCTTTTCGCCGCCATTGACAACATAAGCAACTCATGCTTTTATTAGGCGCCGCCTTTGTTTTTAAAGAGAGAAAACAGTACATCAGACGAGTTCTGCTATCAAATGACAACATCATGACAACCATGAGAGCATACAGACAATCATAGCAACTGTACTAATTTCAAAATTATAGCTCTCAAGAGATGATGATACTCCCAACTGCTGCCAGGAGACTTACAAAACTACAATTCCTTGCGTTGACAGAAAGCACTAGAACCAGATGACATCCGATTATTCCATATTTATCCACAACATATGTGAACATTAAATCCATGTCTCTTTTAGCAAAATTGTATATAAGTTTGAAGTTATACGGCCGCCATTGACAGCAACAAACATCTCCCGCATTTACATAAATTATTGTCCCTCCTAAATACACAAGACAAGTTCTCCTATCCAATGACAACATATACAGAGGATAAAAGCACTACACGCATAAGAATCAGAACATTAACAACCGCTTGGGCATCAAAGAGAATCATTTGCCCAGATTTCAGCACTTGAAACTCATACTCGGCGGTAAGTGTCAGTCTCTACTCTCTGAAACCTCCAAGACTTCGCTGTGATTTAGCTTTACCCTTTGAAACATGGAAAACCCAATTCCTTCCACAGCAGCAGCAATGGAAATGGAACCCAATTCAGCAGCAACAACCCATGAAAATGGAAACCGAAACCATGGAAAGCAGCATCCCAAATTCGCCCTCCCGGTGGACACAGAGCACAAGGCCACGAAATTCCCACTCTACAATTTCTCCGCACCACACATGCGGGCCTTCCATCTCTCCTGGCTCTCATTCTTCGCCTGCTTCGTCTCCACTTTCGCCGCGCCTCCTTTACTCCCAATCATCCGTGACAATCTCAACCTCACCGCCGACGAAATCGGGTACGCCGGCATCGCCTCCGTCACCGGCGCCGTCGTCGCTCGCATCGCAATGGGTGCCGCCTGCGACACGGTGGGGCCCCGGCTCGCCTCCGCTTCCCTCGTCCTGATCACAGCTCCGGCGGTGTTCTTCACTCCCACGGTTTCCTCCCCTGTTTCGTTCGTCCTCGTCAGGTTCCTCACCGGCTGCTCCCTCGCCACTTTCGTCTCCACCCAGTACTGGATGAGCTCCATGTTCTCTTCTCTGGTCGTCGGGACCGCCAACGGGGTCGCCGCCGGGTGGGGGAACCTCGGCGGCGGAGCCACCCAGCTCGTCATGCCCTTCGCCGTAACCCTAATCCGCCGCTCCACGGGGGCGGCCAAATTCACCGCCTGGAGGATCGCTTTCTATGTCCCTGGTCTGTTCCAGATGCTGACGGCCTTCGCCGTCTTGATCTTTGGCCAGGACTTGCCCGATGGGAATTTCCGGCGGGTGGAGAATTCAGGGGACGAAATCCCCCAAATCCTGTTCCATGGAGTTAGGAATTACAGGGGATGGATTCTGGCTCTGACTTATGGGTACTGCTTCGGGGTGGAATTGACGGTGGATAATGTGATTGCCGAGTATTTCTACGACCGATTCAACTTGGACCTCCAGACCGCCGGAATGATTGCGGCGAGCTTTGGATTGGCGAATTTAATTTCCCGGCCAGGGGGAGGGCGGTTGTCCGATGAGGTGGCGAAGAGGTTTGGGATGAGGGGAAGGCTGTGGACTCTATGGCTCGTTCAGACTTTAGGCGGCGTTCTTTGTGTAATTTTGGGTCGGGTCAATTCATTGGGAGGCTCCATTGTTGTCATGATCCTCTTCTCATTCTTCTGCCAAGCTGCTTGTGGCCTAACCTTTGGAGTCGTACCCTTTGTCTCCAAAAGGTAGAAGATATATCGTTACACATTAATACCGTAACATATATTTGTGTCGTATTTACTAACTACACATATGTATGTAGGTCGTTAGGGTTAATCTCGGGCATGACGGGAGGAGGGGAACGTGGGAGCGGTGATAACTCAACTGGCATTCTTCAAAGGGTCAAAATATTCCAAGGAGACTGGAATCACATACATGGGAATAATGATCATTTGTTGCACTCTCCCTCTATGTTTGATCAACTTCCCGCAGTGGGGTGGTATGTTTTCGTCCGGTCGAAGCAACCCATCCTCATCTTCATCCTCGTCTGCCACCGAAGAGGATTACTATATGGCTGAATGGAGCTCACAGGAGAAGGAGAGAGGGCTTCATCAGGCTAGCTTGAAGTTTGCTGAAAATAGCAGGAGGGAGCGAGGGAGAAGATCAGCTTGCAATACTGCACCGGCTAACGACACATCCTCGTCATCATCGCGAGCAATATTAGCGGTTTGAATGAATGTGCGTCGTTTAACATGGAACGTTGTAGATTGTACTCTCTGATGTGTCAAGTTATCCATTAGTAGATGCTTTGTTTGTGTATTCTACTAGTGTTGTACTATGTGAAATTTACCAAGTAGTGTTGTACCATGTCAGTGTTGTTTTGTGTTAAATTAATTGAGCACTAAAACAAAGGATCTAAACACCAAAACAGCTTCCTTTCATGTTCAAGGAAACTCCACTGATGATATTTTTGCCTTTAATACTTTGAAGAAGATGGGGCAAAGCTCCTTAGGCCAAGTCCAATGCTAGCCCCCAAATTTGGGGATCTTCATCCCTAAATTTGGAGATTCTTCCCATTTTGTTCCAATGCTACCATCTCCAAATTTGGGGATTTTCATTTTTTCTAGTAGTTCTTTACTTAAAAATGTACTTATGATCATCTTAATCAAATTATTCATGTTAATTTTAATATAGATCATCATTATTTTAAATACAAATTTTCCGATAGAATTTTTATAAATTTCGGCACAGAATTATTTTTTATAAAAAATAATTGACCTAATTTTTCTTTACACACAATACTTAAAAATGATAAATCTAAAGGTGATTCCCTAATTTTTCATCATTAAAGCACTAATTAAACTCTAACCTTTAATTAAACAAAAAAAAAAGAAATTGTGGCGGGCACAACCGCCAGCCCGGGTGGTGTGCCGCACGCGCGGGAGAGCAGCTCTTCCGCAGGCGTGCGGCGCACCGCTCGGGCTGGCGGTTGTACCCGCCACCACCCCTCCCGATCGCCAAAAATGCAGGGATCGGCATTCCCTTCGTCAAATATGGAGACCCAAATGGCGATTTTCGCCATTAATAGCGATTTGGGCTTAAATGGCGACTCCATTGGAGTCAGCCTTAGTCCTTACTTTTGCTCTTCCTTAACATGAGCTATCTTAACATATTCTAGCCATTTTGGGAAGTAAGTTTACTCTCTCTTTTACCACCATCCCATTTAGGCTTTACTTACTGTCACTTTGGCAGAGTAACTTCAATTGTTTGGGTCTGAGATTAAACAAAGTGAAATGAGCTTTCACTTCTTTCCAACAGCAATTTTCATCATTATAAGCCTTGCATTAATGGCCAAACTGAAACCTAAAGGAACAAACTTTAACCCAAGCTAGTAGCGAGTCTGCACAATTACACCAGAAAGGAACCATTAGTTTGAGCTAAAAAGAGTCAAAAACGGATCATTCAATCTTTATCTATACAAAAACATTACATAAATGATTCTTTTAAGCACATCTTCAAAACTTATCCTTTTACTTGATAACATAAGCAACTCATACTTTATAGGCATCTGTTTGTTTCTAAAGAGAGAAACGTTACATCCGATAAATTCTGCTATCAGATGACAACATACATCACAACATCTTGACAATCACGAGTGCATACAAACAATCATAATAGGTGTTACTAACTCAAATAGAGCTTCGAGTAGATGATGGATACCCCAGCGTAAGAACAAAAACAGCAATTCCTCCCATTGACATAAAGCACTAGAATCAAGAGTCGACGATCGTCGGCACTGATTAGAAGTATGTTCGCATGCTGAGTAATTTGTGCCAAGTACCATCTGAGCATTCCATGTTTATCTACATCAATATGTCAACATTATATGAATGTCTCATTTTAGCATTACTATATACGGCTCTAACTTATCCGGCCGTCATTGACAGCACAAGCAACTCACGCTTCTATTAGGCACTGTTTTTCATATAGAAAGAAAACAGTACATAAGACAGATTCAGTCATCAATAACAACGTATACTACAAATCTACAATACCATGACGACAATGAAAGCATACTAACTCAAAGGTAGAGCTCTAGCTCTGCGAGGTTGAGCATGGTAACCTTTATCTCTCTGTTTGATTCCATAGTGCTAGTACGTACTAGTCCGCTAAGGAAGCTTGGGAGTGGGTGCTGTCTTTTAGTCCTGCAAGTTTCGGTTTTAATACTCTGGGTCTGGGCTGTGAATTCTTGAAACCCTTCTCACTATGAGCTATTCATTACTTTATTGTAGCCATTTTGAGATGTCAAAACTTTGAACTTTTAACCTCACTTTTACCACCACCACATTTTACCAAGGGGAAGTAACTTCCATTACTGAGGGTCTGAAATCAAACAAAGTGAAATGACAAACTGAAACCCCATCTGCAATTTCATCATGCTGTTCTTTACCTTAATGACAAACTGAAACCCTACCAGTAAAAAAGACTGCAATTCCTAGCCCTAGGCGCTACTCTTTTCAATCTAAAAGCTTTACCACACCACTTGCCCACTCTCTTCCATTACCTCTTCCTCCCCAACTTCAGGTTTCAGAATCGTTTCCAGCATTGCACCCTCGTTTATGTATCTTGACCTGGATCAAATCCAAATCAGGCTTGTAAGTGAACTCGATTCCGTCTCCAACAGCCAAGCCATTAGCTGCGGCCAAGGCCTGCCAGCCACGACTGAACCGTCTCTGCCTGCCATTCCCTACGAGATTACAGAAACCGTCCACACTTTCCCTCTTGGGTCCTCAAGTTGAGCAGTTTCCCTCTGTGACAGCTTCGTGGCTTCAGAAAATCTCACCGGCATGCACTTCACATCGGCCCAAAGAGAATGGAAGTAAAGTCAAGGTTTGATGATTGAAACTGAAAGATGATCGAGTGGACGGAAATGAACCTATACCATGTAATTAGAGCGTTTCATGTGCTTCTTGTAAACGGCTTGGTAGGAATCAGCCAAACCTGGAGAAGCGTTGTTGCCAGAAGAATGACCTTTTCTGAACTGTGTCTTAGTTGGAGCTCCTCGTTTCCTCTGTAAACTGTTTTGAACATTCACGAAATCAAAGACCAGCTTAAGCAAAAATTCTGCTGTGTCAGAAGAAACAGAGAGAGGGCAGAGTGTGAGAAGAAACAGAGGTCTTTCTACCTTTTCTGGGTTTGGGCAATTTCTTGTTTCGGAGTTCCATCCATAACTTTCCCAAAGCTTGCTCCTTTCAGAATTTCCACCATCAGATCTCTTCCATTGCCGCTTCCCAGAATCAGAATTGTTGCAAGTATTACGGTTTGGCTTGTGTATCTTTACCTGGAAGACCCAGTTCAGGCTTGTAATGGAAATCGATTCTGTCTCCAAACGCCACGGCATTAGCAGCAGCAAAGGCAGGCCAGCCACTACCGAATCGTTTGCTTGATCCCCTCCTGCCTCCTCCTGCTATTAGTGAAACTGGCCAAACTCTGCCGCTTGGATCCTGAAGTTGAACACTGTCCTTCATATCCAGCCGAGCGATTGTACAAAATCTCAGTGGGATGCACTTCCCATTGTAACAAAACAAACAAATAGAAAAGAAAAGACAGGGTTTTTATGAGTCCAAAAGACTGCAGCAGTGTGGGGTTTTTTTGTATACGAAATGGAATGAAAGAGAGAGTGGGGTGAAATTGTACAATACCACATGAATTCCATGTACTTCTTGTAATTACAAGAAGTACATGGAATTCATGTGGTATTGTACAATTTCACCCCACTCTCTCTTTCATTCCATTTCGTATACAAAAAAACCCCACACTGCTGCAGTCTTTTGGACTCATAAAAACCCTGTCTTTTCTTTTCTATTTGTTTGTTTTGTTACAATGGGAAGTGCATCCCACTGAGATTTTGTACAATCGCTCGGCTGGATATGAAGGACAGTGTTCAACTTCAGGATCCAAGCGGCAGAGTTTGGCCAGTTTCACTAATAGCAGGAGGAGGCAGGAGGGATCAAGCAACGATTCGGTAGTGGCTGGCCTGCCTTTGCTGCTGCTAATGCCGTGGCGTTTGGAGACAGAATCGATTTCCATTACAAGCCTGAACTGGGTGTCTTCCAGGTAAAGATACACAAGCCAAACCGTAATACTTGCAACAATTCTGATTCTGGGAAAGCGGACAATGGAAGAGATCTGATGGTGGAAAATTCTGAAAGGAGCAAGCTTTGGGAAAGTTATGGATGGAACTCCGAAACAGAGAAATTGCCCAAACCCAGAAAAGGTAGAAAGACCTCTGTTCTTCTCACACTCTGCCCTCTCTCTGTTTCTTCTGACACAGCAGAATTTTTGCTTAAGCTGGTCTTTGATTTCGTGAATGTTCAAAACAGTTTTACAGAGGAAACGAGGAGCTCCAACTAAGACACAGTTCAGAAAAGGTCATTCTTCTGGCAACAACGCTTCTCCAGGTTTGGCTGATTCCTACCAAGCCGTTTACAAGAAGCACATGAAACGCTCTAATTACATGGTATAGGTTCATTTCCGTCCACTCGATCATCTTTCAGTTTCAATCATCAAACCTTGACTTTACTTCCATTCTCTTTTGGGCCGATGTGAAGTGCATGCCGGTGAGATTTTCTGAAGCCACGAAGCTGTCACAGAGGGAAACTGCTCAACTTGAGGACCCAAGAGGGAAAGTGTGGACGGTTTCTGTAATCTCAGTAGGGAATGGCAGGCAGAGACGGTTCAGTCGTGGCTGGCAGGCCTTGGCCGCAGCTAATGGCTTGGCTGTTGGAGACGGAATCGAGTTCACTTACAAGCCTGATTTGGATTTGATCCAGGTCAAGATACATAAACGAGGGTGCAATGCTGGAAACGATTCTGAAACCTGAAGTTGGGGAGGAAAGAGGTAATGGAAGAGAAGTGGGCAAGTGGTGTGGTAAAGCTTTTAGATTGAAAAGAGGTAGCGCCTAGGGCTAGGAATTGCAGTCTTTTTTACTGGTAGGGGTTTCAGTTTGTCATTAAGGTAAAGAACAGCATGATGAAATTGCAGATGGGGTTTCAGTTTGTCATTTCACTTTGTTTGATTTCAGACCCTCAGTAATGGAAGTTACTTCCCTTGGTAAAATGTGGTGGTGGTAAAAAGTGAGGTTAAAAGTTCAAAGTTTTGACATCTCAAAATGGCTACAATACAGTAATGAATAGCTCATAGTGAGAAGGGTTTCAAGAATTCACAGCCCAGACCCAGAGTATTAAAACCGAAACTTGCAGGACTAAAAGACAGCACCCACTCCCAAGCTTCCTTAGCGGACTAGTACGTACTAGCACTATGGAATCAAACAGAGAGATAAAGGTTACCATGCTCAACCTCGCAGAGCTAGAGCTCTACCTTTGAGTTAGTATGCTTTCATTGTCGTCATGGTATTGTAGATTTGTAGTATACGTTGTTATTGATGACTGAATCTGTCTTATGTACTGTTTTCTTTCTATATGAAAAACAGTGCCTAATAGAAGCGTGAGTTGCTTGTGCTGTCAATGACGGCCGGATAAGTTAGAGCCGTATATAGTAATGCTAAAATGAGACATTCATATAATGTTGACATATTGATGTAGATAAACATGGAATGCTCAGATGGTACTTGGCACAAATTACTCAGCATGCGAACATACTTCTAATCAGTGCCGACGATCGTCGACTCTTGATTCTAGTGCTTTATGTCAATGGAGGAATTGCTGTTTTTGTTCTTACGCTGGGGTATCCAATCATCTACTCGAAGCTCTATTTTGAGTTAGTAACACCTATTATGATTGTTTGTATGCACTCGTGATTGTCAAGATGTTGTGATGTATGTTGTCATCTGATAGCAGAATTTATCGGATGTAACGTTTCTCTCTTTAGAAACAAACAGATGCCTAATAAAGTATGAGTTGCTTATGTTATCAAGTAAAAGGATAAGTTTGAAGATGTGCTTAAAAGAATCATTTATGTAATGTTTTTGTATAGATAAAGATTGAATGATCCGTTTTTGACTCTTTTTAGCTCAAACTAATGGTTCCTTTCTGGTGTAATTGTGCAGACTCGCTACTAGCTTGGGTTAAAGTTTGTTCCTTTAGGTTTCAGTTTGGCCATTAATGCAAGGCTTATAATGATGAAAATTGCTGTTGGAAAGAAGTGAAAGCTCATTTCACTTTGTTTAATCTCAGACCCAAACAATTGAAGTTACTCTGCCAAAGTGACAGTAAGTAAAGCCTAAAATGGGATGGTGGTAAAAGAGAGAGTAAACTTACTTCCCAAAATGGCTAGAATATAAGTTAAGATAGCTCATGTTAAGGAAGAGCAAAAGTAAGGACTAAGGCTGACTCCAATGGAGTCGCCATTTAAGCCCAAATCGCTATTAATGGCGAAAATCGCCATTTGGGTCTCCATATTTGACGAAGGGAATGCCGATCCCTGCATTTTTGGCGATCGGGAGGGGTGGTGGCGGGTACAACCGCCAGCCCGAGCGGTGCGCCGCACGCCTGCGGAAGAGCTGCTCTCCCGCGCGCGTGCGGCACACCACCCGGGCTGGCGGTTGTGCCCGCCACAATTTCTTTTTTTTTTGTTTAATTAAAGGTTAAGAGTTTAATTAGTGCTTTAATGATGAAAAATTAGGGAATCACCTTTAGATTTATCATTTTTAAGTATTGTGTGTAAAGAAAAATTAGGTCAATTATTTTTTATAAAAAATAATTCTGTGCCGAAATTTATAAAAATTCTATCGGAAAATTTGTATTTAAAATAATGATGATCTATATTAAAATTAACATGAATAAATTTGATTAAGATGATCATAAGTACATTTTTAAGTAAAGAACTACTAGAAAAAATGAAAATCCCCAAATTTGGAGATGGTAGCATTGGAACAAAATGGGAAGAATCTCCAAATTTAGGGATGAAGATCCCCAAATTTGGGGGCTAGCATTGGACTTGGCCTAAGGAGCTTTGCCCCATCTTCTTCAAAGTATTAAAGGCAAAAAATATCATCAGTGGAGTTGTCCTTGAACATGAAAGGAAGCTGTTTTGGTGTTTAGATCCTTTGTTTTAGTGCTCAATTAATTTAACACAAAACAACACTGACATGGTACAACACTACTTGGTAAATTTCACATAGTACAACACTAGTAGAATACACAAACAAAAGCATCTACTAATGGATAACTTGACACATCAGAGAGTACAATCTACAACGTTCCATGTTAAACGACGCACATTCATTCAAACCGCTAATATTGCTCGCGATGATGACGAGGATGTGTCGTTAGCCGGTGCAGTATTGCAAGCTGATCTTCTCCCTCGCTCCCTCCTGCTATTTTCAGCAAACTTCAAGCTAGCCTGATGAAGCCCTCTCTCCTTCTCCTGTGAGCTCCATTCAGCCATATAGTAATCCTCTTCGGTGGCAGACGAGGATGAAGATGAGGATGGGTTGCTTCGACCGGACGAAAACATACCACCCCACTGCGGGAAGTTGATCAAACATAGAGGGAGAGTGCAACAAATGATCATTATTCCCATGTATGTGATTCCAGTCTCCTTGGAATATTTTGACCCTTTGAAGAATGCCAGTTGAGTTATCACCGCTCCCACGTTCCCTCCTCCTCCCGTCATGCCCGAGATTAACCCTAACGACCTACATACATATGTGTAGTTAGTAAAATACGACACAAATATATGTTACGGTATTAATGTGTAACGATATATCTTCTACCTTTTGGAGACAAAGGGTACGACTCCAAAGGTTAGGCCACAAGCAGCTTGGCAGAAGAATGAGAAGAGGATCATGACAACAATGGAGCCTCCCAATGAATTGACCCGACCCAAAATTACACAAAGAACGCCGCCTAAAGTCTGAACGAGCCATAGAGTCCACAGCCTTCCCCTCATCCCAAACCTCTTCGCCACCTCATCGGACAACCGCCCTCCCCCTGGCCGGGAAATTAAATTCGCCAATCCAAAGCTCGCCGCAATCATTCCGGCGGTCTGGAGGTCCAAGTTGAATCGGTCGTAGAAATACTCGGCAATCACATTATCCACCGTCAATTCCACCCCGAAGCAGTACCCATAAGTCAGAGCCAGAATCCATCCCCTGTAATTCCTAACTCCATGGAACAGGATTTGGGGGATTTCGTCCCCTGAATTCTCCACCCGCCGGAAATTCCCATCGGGCAAGTCCTGGCCAAAGATCAAGACGGCGAAGGCCGTCAGCATCTGGAACAGACCAGGGACATAGAAAGCGATCCTCCAGGCGGTGAATTTGGCCGCCCCCGTGGAGCGGCGGATTAGGGTTACGGCGAAGGGCATGACGAGCTGGGTGGCTCCGCCGCCGAGGTTCCCCCACCCGGCGGCGACCCCGTTGGCGGTCCCGACGACCAGAGAAGAGAACATGGAGCTCATCCAGTACTGGGTGGAGACGAAAGTGGCGAGGGAGCAGCCGGTGAGGAACCTGACGAGGACGAACGAAACAGGGGAGGAAACCGTGGGAGTGAAGAACACCGCCGGAGCTGTGATCAGGACGAGGGAAGCGGAGGCGAGCCGGGGCCCCACCGTGTCGCAGGCGGCACCCATTGCGATGCGAGCGACGACGGCGCCGGTGACGGAGGCGATGCCGGCGTACCCGATTTCGTCGGCGGTGAGGTTGAGATTGTCACGGATGATTGGGAGTAAAGGAGGCGCGGCGAAAGTGGAGACGAAGCAGGCGAAGAATGAGAGCCAGGAGAGATGGAAGGCCCGCATGTGTGGTGCGGAGAAATTGTAGAGTGGGAATTTCGTGGCCTTGTGCTCTGTGTCCACCGGGAGGGCGAATTTGGGATGCTGCTTTCCATGGTTTCGGTTTCCATTTTCATGGGTTGTTGCTGCTGAATTGGGTTCCATTTCCATTGCTGCTGCTGTGGAAGGAATTGGGTTTTCCATGTTTCAAAGGGTAAAGCTAAATCACAGCGAAGTCTTGGAGGTTTCAGAGAGTAGAGACTGACACTTACCGCCGAGTATGAGTTTCAAGTGCTGAAATCTGGGCAAATGATTCTCTTTGATGCCCAAGCGGTTGTTAATGTTCTGATTCTTATGCGTGTAGTGCTTTTATCCTCTGTATATGTTGTCATTGGATAGGAGAACTTGTCTTGTGTATTTAGGAGGGACAATAATATTATGATAAATGCGGGAGATGTTTGTTGCTGTCAATGGCGGCCGTATAACTTCAAACTTATATACAATTTTGCTAAAAAGAGACATGGATTTAATGTTCACATATGTTGTGGATAAATATGGAATAATCGGATGTCATCTGGTTCTAGTGCTTTCTGTCAACGCAAGGAATTGTAGTTTTGTAAGTCTCCTGGCAGCAGTTGGGAGTATCATCATCTCTTGAGAGCTATAATTTTGAAATTAGTACAGTTGCTATGATTGTCTGTATGCTCTCATGGTTGTCATGATGTTGTCATTTGATAGCAGAACTCGTCTGATGTACTGTTTTCTCTCTTTAAAAACAAAGGCGGCGCCTAATAAAAGCATGAGTTGCTTATGTTGTCAATGGCGGCGAAAAGATAAATTTGAACCACATATATACATATGCTTTAAAGTTGTTAATTTAATGCACATGTTGTAGATAAAACTTGAATCACCATATGCTATTTAGCTCAAACAAATGGCTCCATCAAATAGAGCCAGACATTATATGGACTTGTTCAATCGCTTATCAACAAAACAAGCAACTCAGGTTATTATCCTGGTTAGAAGTACGTTCCCCTGTTATGCAATGTGATCTTAATTAGAATGCAAACCAATCGAAATAACTTAACTTGAGCACAAGATTAAACCGCTAGAAGACCAACTTGTAGGCCTATGTGTCCCAAGCAGTTCATCAAATACACCCTTAAGACAGAGTAATCCGAACCAGTCTCGGGTTTTGACGGGGTCCGACATGCACATGGAACTCAAAGCTGTGAGCAGGACTATGATATGAGTATGAGTGCTTTGGTGGCAGAGGTTTCAGTTTCAGTCATTATCATGGTGAAATTGCAGTTGGGAAGAAGAAAAGCACATTTGTCATTTCACTTTGTATCATTTCGGACTCATAGTATGTGAAGTTACTGCCCCTTGAGTCGGCGCAAACTTATTATGATTGTTTGTGTGCTTTCATAGTCGTTATGATATTGTAGTAT